AGGGAACCTGGGCTTCTGGCCAGTCCAGGGAGAAGTAATTAGCAGGGCGGTAAAGGCTGTTCCCCGTGACATCAGCAGTGCCTTCTCTGGAAATGCTATTGTATCCTGGAGAGCTCTAGGAATCCCTGTGATGTCACTAGTGTTGTAGCAACACCAACTGCCCTTAGAACATTCATTCAGTGACTCTACAATTCGCCTATAGACATGTTGTCAAGGCTGAGGAGTCTACTTGGGAGAGAGAATGAACAGTGTGGAGAGACCAGAGAAGGGCAGAAGGAAGCAGGCCCTAGGTCTCATTGGAAACCATGGAGAAATAATTTATGATAACTGGAATCCATTCTGATGAAGTTTTGTGGTAATTTTTACCAGCTATGGGATTTATCTTTGTTCTGACAGGACACCCACAATCTCCCATCCCACCAGCACATTGTAACAGCATTATGGGGTCATCCGTAATGTGCTTGTTGCCTTCGGGGGAATAAACTTTGCTCCCCAGAATCCTGACTTAATTAACTAGAAGTCTTTATTTCTCATGTTGTTGATCAGAGATCTCAAGAAGGGGATAAGCCACCTTCCTGAGATATGTTTGGAAGTGAGTCTTCAACTTCCAATCCATGAAGTAGTGACTATATTCTAGTGAAGTAGAGATGAGTCTCTGGCTTTGTAACGAGGAGGTGATTAAGGTCTTCCCTTGTGTTTCTGGGAAGGCTCCTGGGAAGCGCAGTATAGCTTGGACTGAATTACAGAATCTGATTAACAGGTGAGGACCTGCTGCTGGTGGTGCCATTATTCCATTCTCTGGACCTTCTATTGTATTCTGGGGAGCCCTTCGTATTCCCTGTGATGTCATCGGTGTTTGGAGAAAACCAAGTTACTGTGGGGTATTCTTTCGGTAATCATAAACACATTGGCAAGACTGAGCAGGCTGCTTGGGAGAGAGAATGGAGAACTCGGGGAGACCATAGAGAGGTAGAAGGAAGCTCACCTTCTGTCTTCGTATAAAACATGGAGAAGTAAATGGTTCTAGGGAAGGCACAGTGAGTCCCGGGAAGGGGTGGGGAAGTGCCTGGAGGAGGCAGTGCTTGAGCTAGGCCTTTCAGTGGTAGGGTTTGACTTCTGGGAAGCAATGGGCTTACCCTTCTTCTCTGAGTTTCATAATGCTTGCCCTGAGTAAACAGTATCTGATGGATAGTTTTGGAGAGCCATAAACTGTCAAACCTGCAGCTGCTTTTCTGGGAGATCCTAAAGCTCATTCTGAAAGTAAGGCCAGCAGGAACAAAGGAGTGACCAATTAGGTATCCCTCTCTGGGTAGGGTGTTGCTGTACTTCATCTTAGTGGATTCCTTCGGTTTCCATGGGAATCTGATGCTAATAAGAAGGGAGGGAAACACCCCTGGCCATGCACCGAAGTCTCAGATATTCAGATGTTATTGTCCTGGCACGTGTGATCAGGACTTCATGCTGCTAAGCTTTAGGGACAAAAGGACTTACATGCATTACATCAAATATGAGGTGACACTATTCTCCAAATCTACATAGCCAAGCTAGCTTACGCCTTCCAGTTCCAACAAACTCCATTAGGGAGTGAGGCACATGCCTAACCATTGTGGTTGAAGATAGAGACATAGCTAATGGACACCAGTTTGAGGATAGCTGCCCTGCTCTTTGGGAAATTCACTGGGTCCCTAGCATTTCCTCTTCCTTGGGCTTCTTCTTGGGACTCTTCCATCGGGGTCTATGGGACTGATTCTGGGAAGGAGCAGTACTATCTTAAGAGGAATTCAGATACACCCAGGTATTGTGGATTCTGACTATCAGGGGAAAATCAAGATGATGACATCTGTCTGACAAGGGGTTGTGGTCATTCCTCAAGGTGAGTGTATAGCTCAATTAGTACTAATTCCTTATCTGAATTCTAAGAAAGCAATTAGCAGACAGAGTCGCAGCAACCTGGGATTTGGATCCTCAGGGCCAGCTGCCTTTTGAATTGCTCAATTGAGTGAGTGACCCCAGCTCAAAATAAACATAGAAGGGAAAACTTCTGAGGGTATTTTGGATTCTGGAGCGGATGTATCAGTGCTATCTATGAAGTTTTGGCCTAAGGCTTGGCCCCTGGATGGCAGCGCTTCACGATTACAAGGAATAGGTCAAGCAACTCCTCAAAAAAGTTTCAAAAATACTGAGATGGCAGGATGGAGAAGGACGTGAGGGTGTTTTCCAGCCATATGTTCTTCCCGGTCTGCCTGTCAATCTATGGGGACGTGGTCTCTTAGCAGAGATGGGGGCTGTCTTAACAACACAACCTACAAAGGTGTCCTCAGGAAAAACCACCTCTCTGATGAAAGCTATGGCATGGCCACCTGGTCAGGGCCTAGGCGCTTTGCTTCAGGGCCGGACATCACCTTTAACGCCTGATGACCAGGTTACTCACCTTTCAGGGGACCGTACTGAGCTGGGACATGTTTAGTGCGGGTCACTGTCCCACCGCCCGCACCCATACCTATCACATGGTTGTCAGATGACCCCGTATGGGTGGAACAGTGGTCCCTAACTGAAAGAAGACTTGTGGGCAGCCCATGCTCTAGTACAAGAACAATTACTTGCTGGGCATATAGTGCCATCCATGTCCCCCTGGAATACTCCCATTTTTGTAATAAATAAAAAAATCTGGTAAATGGAGGTTGCTTCAGGACCTTTGTGCAGTAAATAGAACCATGCAAATTATGGGGCCGCTGCAGCAAGGGCTCCCCTCTCCCGTAGCTACCCCCAAAGATTGGCATCTTATTGTAGTTGATCTAAAGGATTGCTTCTTTACCATTCCTTTGCAGCCTGATGATTGCTTTCAGCCTACCCTCTATTAATTTTAAAGAAACTTTTAGAGGAAGTGCTTGATGCGTTCGCTGATATGCAACAAGCCCTAGCAACTGCTGGATTGATTATCGCACCAGAAAAGATTCAAGCCATTCCCCCATATTCTTATCTTGGATATATTTATTAAAAACCGATGCAATGATTGATAATCATTATCCCCAACATTTTTTGTTAACTTTCTTTAAGAATCATCCTGTTATTTTTCCACGGATAGTAAAACCTAGGCCCCTGGCAAGAGCTCGAACAGTTTTTACGACGGTTCCCCAAAAGGAAATGGCGTGGTAGTTTCTCAAGATCTGATATCCCAAACACATGTTGGCGATGTCTCTGCTCAGGCAGCTGAACTAGCAGCCTGTATTCTAGCCTTGCAAATGTTTTCTGATGAGCCAATTAATTTATATACGGAGAGTATTTTCTTGTCTCATATTATTGTTCCCTTGAAGACCGCTCTTTATATGTACCCTGTGTCCCGTGTACAACAACAATTATGCTGTTTGCAGCATTTATTGTGGTCCAGACGGGATCCTCTTTTTGTGAGTCATATTAGAGGTCATACTCAATTACCTGGACCCCTGGATGAGGGTAGTCAGCTCGCAGATGCACATACCCGAATATTACTTGCCAGCCCCGAAGAAAGGGCTTCTAAACTCCATCACCTTAATGCTCAGTCCCTGCAGCACCATACTGGTTGCTCTAAAGTCTAAAACCTTACAAATTACCATCCAACGTTCCGCTTGTGCCCCTTTTTATAACGCACCCATTGCAGGAGTTAACCCCCGTGGACTTAAGCCAGTGACATTTGGCAGATGGATGTAACCCACCTACCTTCGGCTGGAAAACTGAAATACGTGTACATTTCGGTACATGCTTGCTCTAAAGTAGTTTTTTGCTTCATTGCATAGTCGGGAGAAAATTAAGAATGTGATAGCTCATTGCCTGCTGGCTTTTGCTTCAATGGGCTTACCACATGTTATTAAAACAGATAATGGTCCTCAGTCAAAATAACATTTTCTAGCTCCATCCATTTTCCTGCAAAATTCAAGATGTCATTATTTTTTTTCTGCTGTGTAGTACTCCATTGTGTAAATGTACCACATTGTCCTTATCCATTCTTTGGTTGAGGGGCATTTAGGTTGTTTCCAGGTTCTGGCTATGACAAACAAAGCTGCTATGAACATAGTTGAGCACATGTCCTTGTGGCACAATTGAGCATCCTTTGGATATATACTGAGAAGTGGTATTACTGGGTCTTGAGGAAGAGTGTTTCCTAATTTTCTGAGAAATTGCCACACTGACATCCAAAGGGGTTGTACCAGCTTGCATTCCCACCAGCAATGCAGAAGTGTTCCTTTTCCCCCACAACCTCTCTAGCATAAGTTGTCATCAGTGTTTTTGATCTTGGCCATTCTTTCAGGTGTAAGATGGAATCTCAGAGTTGTTTTGATTTGCATTTCTCTGATGACTAAGGATGTTGAACATTTCCTTAAGTGTCTTTCAGCCATTTTAGATTCCTCTGTTGAGAGTTCTCTGTTTAGGTCTGTACTCCATTTTTTTTATTGGATTATGTGTTCTTTTGGTGTCCAATTTCTTGAGTTCTTTGAATATTTTGGAGATCAGACCTCTGTCTGATGTGGGGTTAGTGAAGATCTTTTCCCATTCTGTAGGCTGTTTTGTCTTATTGACCGTGTCCTTTGCTTTNCTGTTATAGCTGACATATGTGGACAAGCTATTTCATCTTTTTTGTTTGTTTTTTCGAGACAGGGTTTTTCTTAGTAGCCCTAGCTGTCGCTGGAACGCCCTCTCTGTAGACCAGACTGGCCTCAAACCCACAGAGATCCATCTGCCTACCTCTGCCTCCCAAGTGTGGGGATTCAAGGCATTATTTAATCTTTCTAAACAGCTATTTTTTCCATCTAGAAAATAGAGATAATATTAACACCTTCCCAGTGGGGTTATGAGAAGCATTAGACAAGATTTCTATAAAAGATTAAGGGCTACCTAGCACATATGAAACACTCGTGACTGCTGTTCATGACTAACAGTGGCTGCTTTATGAACGAGATCCAGATCCAACCATTTCTTCTATAAGCTGCAACGCTTAGCCGTTCAAAATAACACAAACATGTGAATATATTTGGTATTTGCATGTATTTTAGAAATCGTTCCACGACAGACAGCATTGCACATCCAAATCCCGCTTTTGTCCTCTCCAACCCTAGGTAACCTTCCCCCTCTCTGTGTTCTACAAGTGACCTCCCATGTCAGTTGCACAGAGCCCCTGTCCAGATGTTACCCATGTTTCTGGTCCTGGGTGGTCGGATGCCTGGAGCGTAGCAATAGGTCCGCGGGGTGGGGTGTCTGGATCCCACAGGATGTCCTCATATTTGCTTTGAGCCAGGCCAGAGGGTCGCCCTTGAGCCCCAGTTTGTTCTAGGAGGGCTCTGACCAAACCCACTGTGAGAGGGGACTCTGCCCCAGGCTCAGGGAAAGGGTTGGCGGTTCCCACATCATCTGGGAGATGCGTCCTCAGTAAAAGCAGCAGCTCATCTGGAGCCACTTCTGGTGGGCACAGGCAGCAAAGGAGGGGGAGGTGAGCATCAAGGCTGCGGTGCCGGGCAAATTCTGCCAGCAGGAGCTTAAAGATCTCGCTCCGAAGCAGGGGGCTGGAGGAGTCCAGGGCCAGGCCGGCCTGCAAAGCCTTTTCCCACTGCTCCTTCTCTATTAGCTGCCTCACGGCTTGCAGCACAGCCTTGGGCCGCCCACTGCCCAGAAGCAGCTCTAGTTCCAGGGCCTCGGGTCTCTTCCCTTCCTCACCCAGCACAGCTAGGGCTCGCCGATAAAGGGGCAGACTAGGGCCTTCCGCTGCCCAGCCTGGCCCACCTCGCTGCTGAGCCAGTTCCACAAATGGGGGGAGTCACTGAGGCTCTAACTGGCATAGGCACTGACACAGGAGTTCAAAGGGGGGCAAGATTCCATTGGGGGGCTCCTTTCCAGCTGTTGGACCCCTCAGTATCTTCTTCCATACATCAGGGGGTGCCTGGGACCTCAGCCTGCCCGTCCTATCTGGCTGGAGCTGCAAGGCCTGGAGGGTGGCACTCCAAGCTGCTGTAGGAAGGGCTTGGAAAATGGTGTTGAATTGGACCAGGTGGTCGCCGGTCAACTGCGTTCTCAGCAGCCCTGCCACCTCATGCTCTGCCAGCTCGGTCCAGCCAGCCTCCTCCTCATCCCCGGCCACCAGCTGGGCCTTGAGCTGCTCCAAACTCCGGTAGTCCCGAAGCTCAGCCCTCAGCGTGGTCAACAGTGCGGATGGGGGCAGGTGGCCCTGGAGGATGGAGGCCAAGGCCTGAGGTGCCCGAAACATGCTGTTGTGTCTCAGCTCTTCTGGGGTAAGCTGGGTACCGTGCAGGCTCCGTCGCTGGTAGTACCCACAGGCCTCCTCAAACACCATATCCTTGTCTGAGGGTAGCTCAAGGCCTTGGGGAGCTTCCCAACCCACACAAAAGAGACCCAGGGCTGAAAGCAAGTAGAGAGCTCCTTGCATCTCCATGTCTTCCTCATTCTTCATGCCAGGGGCTGACGGCTCCAGCAGATGTACTTTATCTGTACTTAGGACCTTCCTTTCCAACAGCTGCCCACTGCTCATGTCTAGTAGTTCCAACGTGGAGCCCAGGACACAGGCTAAGGTGCCATGAAATGTTCCCAGAGCTGCAGAACCCTTTAGGCCGACAGGCGCCTCCTGCAGGGTTCCCACAGTCCGAGTACCACCATGGCATTGCACTAGGCTCACCTTGCCTTTCAAGTCCAGCAACAACAAGCCATGGGAAGATGGGGCCCAGGTGTGGACAGCCAATGGCTCCCTGGGGGACAGGAACCCAAGAAGGCCTTGCAGCAGGATCTGAAAGTCCCAGGTGTCTCCTTGTCTGGGATTCAGGCTTTTATTGTGAGAAAAGGCCAGGAGATGGGGCGACAACTATCACCTTGCTCTTGCTTGGGTTCCAGATGAGCAGGACATGGGCCACGCCAGGCCAGGTGGTGATAGTGGGCACCAGGAAGAGGTCCTTGCGGGAGGCTATCAGTCCAAAAGGGGGGCAGTGGTGCAGCAGGATGTGTGTGCGGCCTAGTTTGGTGCTTATAGGGAAACAAGCCAATCTTCTACCTCTAGCAGTAGTTGTCTTTCACCTCTTCTTGGGGAGCTGGGGAGGTGGCTCAGTGATTAAAAGCTCTGGCTGCTCTTCTAGAGGTCCTGAGTTCAATTCTTAGCAACCACATGGTGGCTCACAACAGTTTGGAATGAGGTCTGCTGCTCTCTTCTGGCATGCGGGCATACATGCAGGTAGAACACTATATATGTAATAAGTAAATCTTTTAAGAAAGAAAGAGAGAGGGAGGGAGGGAGGGAGGAAGGGAGGGAGGGAGGGAGGAAGGAAGGAAGGAAGGAAAGAAAGAAGGAAGGAAGAACTTGCTGCTCTTGCGAGGACCTAGGATCAGTTCCTAGCATCCATATCTAGTTCCAGGGCATCTGATTGATGGAGGTGGGTCTTGTATCTTATCTGTTGCTTTCATTGGTTAACTAATAAAGAAACTACCTTGGCCCTCATAGGACAGAAAATTAGGTAGGCGGAGTAGACAGAAGAGAATGCTGGGAGAAAGAAGCTTAGTCGAGGAGTCGCCATGATTTTCCCACTCCAGACAGATGCAGGTTAAGAGCTTCTCTGGTAAACCACCTCGTGGGCTACACAGATTATTAAAAATGGGTTAGATTAATATGTAAGAGCTAGCCAATAAGAGGCTACAGATAACGGGCCAGGCAATGTTTAAAAGAATACAGTTTCCGGGTAATTATTTCGGGCATAAGCTAGCCATACGGGCGGCTGGGTGCCGGGGACACAGCCCCGCCACTCCTATCACTACATCTGATACCCTCTTCTGTCCTGCATGGGCACGTACAAATCCCTACATCACATCAGGCAACTCACCACCGCCTGTAACCCCAGCTCCAGCGGATCTGAAAGGCCTGCCTCTGGAGGAAACTGCAGTCATGTGCATATACCCACACACAGACACACAGTTAACAATAACTTCAAAAGCTAAAAAATTTTAGCTGGGCGGTAATGGTGCATGCCTCTAATCTCAGCACTTGGGAGGCAGAGGCAGGCAAGTCTCTGTGAGTTCCAGGTCGGCCTGGGCTATGTAGACAGATCCTGTCTCAAAAAAATCAAAAAGAAAAACAACAAAAATCTTTCCTCTCAGACATAGCATACCTATGGAATGTGTGCACAACACACACACACACACACACACACACACACTGGGGATGGGCTGGGGGTTCGAGGCTTCCCTAGCTCTTTGGCGCCATTGCTACCTCTATCTTGTGAGACTCCAATAGGAGAAGGAAGCAAGAAGGAAAATGTATGGCTGTCAGGCCTCAGACAAAGCCTGCATTTCCAACTACAGAAAAGTACCCCGGAAGTCTGTGAAAACCTAAAATGAAACTATTATCTACCTTCAGAAATGATCATAAAAGCAGACATGTTAATCTACCCATCTGGCAGCATTTAGCAAACCAGCCAAACACTCAGCTGAGGACTCACGTGTGAAAAGGTTAATAGCTGGCCCCAGACTACTTCCAGATACTGAGAAGATGGACAAGGAGGCCCACGCAGTATACTAGGAACTAGGTAGTGTGGCCTAAACCAAATCTCATCTAGTTTTCAATGTGTCTATAGATGGCCCTTTCTGTGTCAGGGTCAGCTCACAAAAAGAAGGAGACCCACGGCAGTGAGTAACCAAATCTCCTACCCAGGTTCTCTGGCTGCTGAACTGGAAGATTCCCGGGTTTCTCAGCACCTGTCTGAGAAACTCCCTCCACACCTGAATTCTCTGGCTCTTCTCCAGTCTCAGAAGTTGGATTCACTCCTTGCACCTATCCAATTTTAAAACAATCACCTAGAAGAGGCCCTACCTCCATAGAGCTGGGGAGACGGCAAAGCAGTCAAGTACCTCAATACACTAAGATCTGTCACGGCAAAGGCCACTTCCGTTGTCCCTCTCATGTTCCGAACTTACGCGGGCATGCTCTCCACCAGAGGCATTCTCTTCTGCTGCAGGCTCTGTGCACTGTGCCTGCTCTGCAGCTCCCTCCCAGCACTGCTTTAGCTAGAGATTTTTGCTAGCAAGGCATTTTTGCTCCACACACAGGCTCAAAGAGGGTCACCTCGACATTTCGTAGATGTGACTAGTCTACACCGTCGTCCTAGACGAGAGGTGGCAGATCTGCTCCAGCCCTGACAGTAAGCAATGCTGTGACCTGGTCCGGAACCCACATAGATCAGTGGGGACACCTGAGCCTGCCATAGATGCCTGGCAGCCTAAGACAATTAGCATGCCTGTCCCTATGCATTCCCAGTGACTTCTCTCTTTGGTTGGGGGTGATCCCCATAACTTATACAGCACCTAGAGTTTGAAGAACAAAAGCCAAGAGCAGAAGCTGAGAGATGTCTCATAGTTCAAGAGCTTTTGTTGCTCTCACAAGGCGCCTTAGAACCATCTATGAATGGGGATCCAGTGCCCTCTGCTGGTCTCTGTGGGAACTGCATACATGTGGGGCAAATGCAAGCTCAAGACCAACAGCCTCTTTAAAAAGCTCTTTCCCAAAGTAACCTGTGCTGTCTGCTTATCATGGATGCTGGGTTGCAAGAAAAACAGAGGCAGATAGGCCTTGGTTTCCTGGTTTCTTTTGTATTCCTGTAATGAATGTTGTTATTGCCTGAGACTCCATAGAGCAATAAAGGTGCATTTCTCAATAATGTGGTCCTTAAGGCCAATTCATAAAAGTGTGTCTAGAGAGTACCATGTTTTAGGGGTAGTTAAATACATGACAGCAAGAATACAGCATGGATACTGATTCCACTCTAAGGTGTGTTTCCATGGAGTAAGCCATGCTACCAATACCCAAGATACAAATCTGCTGTGTCAGCCTGGCTGGCTGGGAACTCACTATATAGCCCATGCTGTCTAGAACTAACAGAGATCTGCGCCACCACATCAGAATAAAGAAGATAGGTTTAAGTGTGAAGACTTGGAAATTGCTTTTTTTATTCATAAAAATACATTTTACTCAAAGGGGGTTTTAACAGGGTTTCAAGATAAACACTGAATAATAACCTTAACAAATTATGAAAATCATCAACAAGAATAGATAACATCAAAATAACAAAGCCCAAACCGAAACAACCAAAAATAAAAACTTAAAACAAAACCAAACAAGAAAAATTAAGCTAATTAGAATTCTCTCACGGCAAATTGAATAGCACAGAATACTACAGGCTGTGCCTCGCCTCAGAGACATGGTAGTGAGGCCATCACCAATTGGAACAGCTTTTTCAAGATGCCTGTAGTCAATCCTCTTTGGGAGTTTATATGTCATGTTCCTCCCCCAAGGCTGAGGCCATTGCTGGTAGATATAGGCTTTGGAGTAACTTTTGTTTCTGGTTTTCTCTACCCCAAGCATGGTTTTGATGCTTTTTCTTCATGAGAACTGAGTCAACAGACGCACGGATCAGACTGGGCATGACCACCTGGAGGACAGCTGGTATTTCCTTCACTGGTGAGTTCACAGTTACAAGGGGTGTCTTTTTGTCTGGAGGCCTTGGTCCTAATGTGAAGAATGTGATGGTTTCAAGGTGTCTGTGGCTCCCTTTGGCTTCCTCAGTTCTCTCAGGGGGTGTTATCAAAAAGGAAAGGGAATCAAGACCCAGAAGCAGCCATGCTGGGTCACTGGCTAGACATACTCAAGGCCTATTCCACGATGGAATCCAAATTTGAAGAATAAAATTGATCCCTGCACTTCCGTAGTTGCTGGGGATGGGGCTCAGCGGGTGGCTCTTCCTGTAGCAGCTCCTTCTGCAAGTGGCTCTTGTCCTGGGCTGTGGCCTCTTCCACCTCAGGCTGGAGTGTTTTGGACCTGGGAGAGGATAGCAGTTAAGGCACAGGTCAGGAGGAGACATGCCATGTCAACTGTCTGGCTCCTACCTCCCAACACCTCAGGCGTCCTGGAGAACCAACATTGATCTTTAGACTGATGATGGAGGAAGGTCATTGGTTAAAAAATAAAGAAACTGCTTGGCCCTCATAAGTTAAAACATAGGTGGAAGGAGGAAACAGAACAGAATGCTGGGAGGAAGAGGAAATGAGCTCAGAGGCCATGCTCCCCTCTCCCGGGCAGACACGATGAACCTCTGACCCAGGATGGACGGAGGCTAGAATCTTCCCGGTAAGTGCACCTTGGGGTGCTACACACATTATTAGAAATGGGCTAGTCCAGATGCGAGAGTTAGCCGAGAAGAGGCTAGATATAATGGGTCAAGCAGTGTTTAAATAAATACAGTTTGTGTGTTGTTATTTCGGGGCATAAGCCAGCCAGGCGACCAGGAGCTGGGGCGGCAGGAACACAGCCCGCAGCTCCCACAACAGACTGATATTGTTTTTATACCCCCAAAGAAATAGGATCACAGAGTAGCTGGGCCTAGAACTTTTCTCAACCCTAGACACATGTCATAACTTAAATGAGCTTGTATGTTGTCCTTTCTACTAGAAAAATAGAACATTCTCCTACAGATCAGGGACATCATTTTGTACACAACAGCAGGATATAAATACCATAGCCAACAGTGTATGAGCAATACACTTAGTATTGATTAGGAGTTACTGATCAACACATCATCTTATTGATAGCAGTAATACAGCCTTGCCATCTGGGCACCTGGACAAGGTCATGAGGTTAGCTCAGTCCTCATGCCCAGAGGGACCATAAACACGAGCACCATGCAAGATGGAGCCTGTCATGCTAGAGCAGCATTTCCTGTGATGTGTGCTGAGAAACTGGCCCTGCCTGGGCTCTGGGACCAAACAAAAACTTGCATTTCCTTAGGACTAGAGCTGGGAATCTGCATCCTGGCTCTCTTTGGGAGTCTGTTACAGCACACTCTGAGAAGGTTCTGATCTTGCCTGTAGCTGAAGTATCTGCCTGGGTTCATCCTGGACAGTCCTTAACATATTCTATCCAGAGAACACTTCGCACAGGAAATAGGTTAACATTACAGAGAGCATTGTTCAAAGGTGGGAATCTCTCCTCTACCCAGAATGTTCCTAAATAAGAATGCTATTTCAGCAAGGTGTGGTGGTGCACACCTTTAAATCCCATCTCTGGGGAGGCTGAAGCAGGCAGGCTTCTGTGAGTTCAAAGAAAGTCTGCTGAGAGCAGAGAAAGGTCAGGAGGGAGAAAGTGAGACTCAATTCTAATAAAACATGAGTACCAATGTATTATCTTCTTGATAGAATTTCTTGTTGAATGAACCAGCAGATATCATTCGGTTTCTTTTCATGGTTCTAGTTTGGAGCCAAGCAGAGGAGCAGAAATAAAAGACAGAGGTCCAAGGAACAGGGGATCCACTTGGCTGTACTATGTCCTCCCAGTCTGGGCTCCTACCTCATCTGGAAGAACTCAAAGTGATGCTGCAGCTTTTCTGCTAAGTCCTTTTTCTGGGTGTCTGCTTCCTTCTGCTTCAGCAGGAACTGAAGTCTTTGCACCAATCCCTGGAGCTCCTGTTCATTAGAAGAGTGTGTTCTTAGTGGAGGATTACACAATCTCACACAAATCTAAGCACATGCAAAGGATCCCAGTAGCTTGCTGGTCATCCAGGAAGAAAAAACAGTAAACATCCAGGGAAGTAAGGAAGCCTGATTCAAGGCAGAGACTGAATAGAAACACGGTGTGGTCTCTGCTAGCCAATGCACACGTGTGTCATGCACCACAACCCCCATATGCTTACACTACACACACATAGGCACATACACATAGGCACACACACAAATACACACAACGCAAGAACTGAGAGTTAAAGAAAGAGGTACAGAGAGGAAGAAATGGAGTTTGTAGAAAGAAACATCATGGCAGAGGAGCAGTTTAGACGAACCACACCAGCTCTTTCAGAACAGTCCCACAACTCAGCCATCATTTCTTGGACACTAGTACGGTTGGAATATGCTTGGCCAGACTATGTCGAGCTGGTTAGAGAAATTCTTCCCCTGAAGGCCCAAATCTCCCTAATTCGGCCACCAGCTTGTTAAAGCCCCCAGCAGATCATCCAGTCAACCCCAGACTGTAGTCTACTGGATGGGAGAACTGTCCAGCACTGATCCCAGACAACAGGGCTGAGGAGCTGGGGCTCAGGCTCTGTCACTGGGAACTGAGAGCTGGGCAAAGGGAAGAGAACACACGTGGATGCAGGAAGAAAGGAGAAGGCCCCATGCCACCCTAACCCCTGCCAGTGAGGGGCACTCAATAGGCCTTGCATGGGGATCTCCTCCTTGCAAACTGCTTCCCACCTGTGATCTCATATGAGCCCTGCCAAGCAAATGAGGCCCAGGAGCCAGACCTCACTCACTCCAAGCTCTATGATAGGTAGATAGAATGCTACCTATCATAGATCCATGTAGGTGTATGGTGTGCTATTAACCCTTCTCCTTCACTGGACTGCATCTTCAAACAGAGCAGCAGCAATGGTGCTCCTGTTTTAGACAGCAATTCAGGTCCTGGGTGGCTATTGCTGTGCCCTTAGAGCGATAACTCAGTCTCTCCTAAGAGGCTAACTTCCCAGAAGTACTTGCGCATGGACCCTGAAATGAACACCTGGTATCATGAGGTGGGTGGTCAAATGAGAACATGAAAGAGTCAGGTGGGGGTGAAAGCACAGGTGGGGATGGGCAGAGAGCAGTCAGAAGGGCAAATGGGGCCAGACCGTAGCCTGACTGATTTGCCTGCCCCACCTGTTGTTGCTGGGTTTTGACGTCACCGTTCTCTTCTTGGTTCTTACAGAGCACTTTCAAGTCCTCTACGTAGCGCATCAGTAGGACCCAATCATCCCGCAATTTCTTCTTCTCCTGCCTTAGCAGGTCCACCTTGTGCTCCAGGTGAGTATGCTGCATCAGGAGCCAGCTGTGCACACTGCTGGAGAGACACACTGCATAGTAAGGCCTGCCAGCCTCCTCCTGCCTCCCCTGCCTCCAGGAAGCAGCACCCCAAAAGGCCTTATGCTTCCTTGAAGATGTAGCTAAGAGTCTGACACAGCCTTGACAGCTACACTCAGAAAGCCAAAGTGAGACAGCAGCTAATACCAGAAAGCATCAAACTACTATGGACAACCCAACACCAAACAGGAGCCACGGCCCTTCAATAGAAAGAGGAGGCCCCCAACTGTCCTTAACTGTCCACAGTAATAGGAAACCATCAGCAAGTAGTGGGCAAACACCCTCCAAGGGGGGACAGGAGGCAAAAGGTGAGCTTATTCTACCTACAAGTTCCACAGCCTCCAGACCTCTAAAGCCTAAGGCTTGTGCTCCAGACACCCAGGGCTGCCTGGCATTTCCCTCATGGTGCAAAGCCCTTTTCTATCTAGAGGCTCCAGAGGCTCTAGGGCAATGGTGGTAGGGCTAACAGTCTCTTTCACACTCCCAATAATGAGTTCAAGAGACACAAGTCCAAGAGCTGCTTGCTAAGAAGCAGAAAGTCTAGAAGCAGAGGTAGCAGCTCTCCGTGCAGAGAAAAAGAAAGGCAGAGATGGCCGTTCCACAATTTTTAGGGCCCACATCAAGATGTGCCCTTACCGATATAAGACTGTCTCCTTGGTCAGCTCACTCAGCTTTTCTGAGGCCTCGGCGTTCTCGTCCTCCAGACGCTTTAGTGCTGACAAGGCCTGTTTGTGCTGTAGCTTCACTTTCTCATTCAGGGGATTTGGCGGGTGGTAGGGCCTAAAACAGGAGGAAAGACTCCCATGAACACAGGCCTCAAGGATCATGGAAACTCAAGCTGGATCCTGGTCGACCACAGCCCAGGGGTTGCCACATTCTGGATACTATTTCTGGAACCTTGTGGTGCTTATTTCTTGTTATCCTGACCCTAGGTCAGCAGAGGCCTGGCTCAGATGGAGGGTGTCCTAGCTGCATGAGCTCACGCAGTAGGCCTAGACAGTCAGTCTAGCTCTCTGTGTTACCAGGAATTTACGCCACAGGTCTTGCCACACCAGATATTGCAATGAAATCTCTTCTGTTTCAGAAAGCGATTCTAGACCCTACATGACTGTCATTGAGCAGTAAGACAGAGAACACAACTCTGGGTTTCAGACCCAACAGCAGGACAGCAATATAAATACCCTAAGAGATTCCTAGGTGCCATCAAAGTGAGCACATAAGACAACATTAGTAATGCTTAAAGTGGGGATCCCAACCTCAGCAGTGGCATCGCCTAGAAACTGGGTCAGGCAAATCCTTAGCTTCTACCACAGATCCCTGGCTGCTGTCGTCTGCAGGGACAGAAAAACATGCAAATGTGTATATGCAGACTCACACGCAATAGAGAGAGAAGGAGAGATATAGAGACACAGAGAGGAAGAACACCCATAATCAGATGCCAAAGAAATGTGTGGAGCAGAATTATCAACGAGTACGATGCACAAAACTAGAGGGAAACAGTGATGAGCACCAGAACTTCCAGTGACACTGAGATGGACCAAGTGGGAAGAGGCCCCTCCAGCTGCTCCCAGCACTTTTCTGCACCCAATCTCCTGCCAAGCAAGTCCCAAGACTCACCACAAGCTAACAGCAGCTCGTATCTCACACAGCCACCACCTGTCATGTCTTGATAATGCATGTGGGGAAATACACATTACTGCCCCAATCCCTGAGCTGTGTGACTCAAACCACAGGCTCTGGTTTTTATTTGCAGGAAGCAGAATTGTCACAGTCCCCATCTCAGCTTCGGGGCTGCCTCTCCTCTGAGAGGAACTTAGGACATGAGGTTAGTCACTCAGGAAGTGCAGCCTCCTAGAACCCAACAGCTTTTTTTTAATCAGATTTTTTTTATTTTTTATTTATTCCCAGCAACCACATGGTGGTTCACAACCATCTGTAATGGGGTCTGGTGCCCTCTTCTGGCCTGCAGGCATACACACACACACACACACACACACACACACAAATAAATAAATAAATAAATAAATAAACAAATAAACAAATAAATAAATAAATAGTTTTTTAAAAAAAGAATTGTAATACCTGTTCTTCTTGTATAAAAAATCCCTGTTTGAGAGCTGCAAAATGCACTCAGATTCAAAAAAAAAAAAAGAATAATTGACACTTCTTTTACATAGTTATCACATATACCCCTCCCTCCTCTCCTCCCTGTTGCCCCCTTTCCCATCTATACCTCCCTCCCCTTCCACTCCTCCTCTGTCTCCATCAGAAACAGGCAGGCCTCCTGTGGACTTGAGGAAAACACGGCATGTCAGGTTAATACAGGCTGAGCTCCCTGCCTCGTGTCATATCTAGTGTAGGCAAGGAAATCCAGCATGGGAAGAGGTTCCCAAAAGGCAGGTAAGCTCCAGGGACAGGTCCTGAACTCACTGATAGGAGCCCTACTAAGAGATCAAGCTACACACTGTCACACACAAGCGGAGGGCCTAGTTAGGTCCCATGGAGGCTCCCATCTGTTGGTCCAGAGCCCATGAGCTCCCACAAGCTCAGGTGAGGTGGCATTGTGTAGGCCAAGACTTTAAAACAAAGCAGGTGAGGGGGATATTGCTGACAGGGCCATGAAGTCTGGAACAACGGATACGTATCATCCACCTTTCCTTCCGTGATAAAGATCACGTGATCTCGCAGCTCATTTCTTTGGCTGGTCATCAGCTGCAGCTCCATGGTCAGCCTCTCCATTTCCTTCCGCATCTGTTTCTGGGTACGGGGCCTTGGTTTGGATGATGGCACCGTAGCAGCATCTGTGGGTGGATGGAACACAAGTGAGATTGCATAGCGACAAGGCATAGACAATGGACGGGCCACCCTGAGGACCAAATAGAAGTACCATGTCTGGAACCTGGTGACAACCCAGGTTGAGATGCCACATCTGCGGACCTCAGCTCTCCCATCGCTCTAGAGATGTGACTACATAAGCAGCCGGGGCTTTCCTCTGCCTCCCTACTCATGCTCAGGGGAACAGACACCACTTCTTCAGACACAGTATTCACAGCAGCAGAGAATGCAGCGTGGTCCGGAGCCCTGAAGCCTGCCTGGGTTTCAGAACGGCAGAGTGCATGAGCACTCGGCTGCTGTGAGGAGCCCAGAATCCTTCCTGGCCAATCCAGGCCCATGGCTGTCAACTGAAAAGCCATGCGGGGGCACAACATGGTCAACGGGCTCACCAAGTTACCCACTGACTGTCCAGATCACTGAAGCTGGCAGGAGGCAGCCAGTCTCTGCTCTGCTCCTATACCTCAGGCAGTTGTTTGGCTACACTAGAGAACTACCCGCCATCCTCAGCTGCTGACATAGAACCCTAGGGGCCACTGTCAGGGAGAGGTGCTCAGAGGAATTCTGCAGTACAGTCTGAGCACATAGTGTCTTGGCCAGAGAACTTTTCTTCCCTTGTGGCTAGTGTCAGAGAGAGACTGGACCCACAGGAAACTACAGAGGGTGAGAGGCAGTGATGCCTCCCTAAGATGGGAACACATCAGTCCCTCCCTTCCTCCTGTGGTCTCCTTCCGTCCCCACATATTAACCCAAACCACAGTGAAGGTCACAGCTAAGTGGTCATCCCAGCACAACATCCTTGGCCTGGTCAGCCTCTGGCTTAGGAGATGGGCAAACTAATGTTCCGGAATCCTTGATCTTCGGGAATTATGGTAAGCAGGGATGTCCATTAGCTAATGAGAGGCTCCTGGTCCTCTGTCACATTACTGGAAGGCCCACCTCAAATCCCCCTCTTCCAGCTAGCTGCCCACCTCCTGCCCATGACTCACTGCGTCTTCGCCAGAACCATTTATTCCTTCCTGCTTTACGCCCAAACTGAGCGTCAGCTTCCTCCCGCCTCTCTCTGTTCTTTGGACATTCTCCATCCGCTCTCCTAATTAGACCCCCCAGTCTTGAGAACATGACTCCTGCTGTACCCTGTGGGCACCCAGGAATGTCCTAAGGGCAGTTGGTGTTGCTACAACACTGGTGACATCACATGGAATGCCAAGAGCTCTCCGGGATACAGTAGAATTGTCTGGGGAAGGGACTGCTGATGTCATGGGGACCTGCATTTGTCACCCTGCTAACTAGCTGTCCTGAACTGACCAGAAGCCCAGCTTCCCCATCCAGGAGCCTCTCTGGGAACACAGAGACATCCATTCAGCACCTCCTCCTTCCAAACCCAGAGTTCCCTTAGCTTGATTGGAAGGCCATAGTTGAGAACTGACCCTGAGCCGCGTCCTTGGTTCCAGCTCTGTTACTGTCATTCTGTCCTTCAGTAACCTTGGACAGGTTGTGCTGTGTCTCATTCTATTTTATGCCTCTGTTCTGCTTGGCTTCTGTTATTATTTCCAGTACAGTTTTCCATTTTTTCCATTTCTGACCTGTTCCCAGGTTCCTTCATTAACATATCACAGATGATCGCGTGTGTGGGACAGCAAGCCATCAGTGGCTCCTGGGTTCCAGATGGCTTTGAAAACAGACCTTTGCCACACTTTGAGAGATTTGACAGACTCTTTGTCTGGCTCGTCCTCTGAGGAACAGAGACTGATCAGGATCTAAAGCCTCTGGTTGTTTTCACTTGGTGTTTACATAGACCGTGTTGCTGTGGCACTGAGTTGCACTGCACGTCAGTCTGGCCCCACTGACTGCTGGTGTCAGAGCTGCACTGCCCTTGCAGCGGTCTGTTTTACATTTTCAGCACCTCTAGCTACAGGAGGTTCTGGTTTGGAGGTGGGCGGGGCCTGCCCACAATAAGGAAGTCTTGAAGACAATGGCTTCCCAGGGAATGGGTTGGGTGCCCTCTGAGGTCCTTGGCACTTCTGGAATAGCAGCTCAAACTCAACGTTCTCCTCTTCCTAGCCTCTAACCTGCACCAGCACCCTAGCAAAGATGGTGTGTCTAAATTATTTCTCCTCTAGGCAAGGGCATAGGGCACCTGCCAGTTCTTGAGTCACTGGCTGGGTATGTGTGTAGCCTTCTGGGGAGCATATTCTTATGTGGATGGATTTTAGAATTTTGGATCTTGGACCTTGATTGCTATTCTTTTTTCCTATCTCCCTTCAGCTCCCTGCTATCAGAGACTTTGTGGTCAATAGGTTTTATTCTTGCTTAATGCCTACTGCGTTTTTCTACCACACAATGGCACGTTGGAAGGGTCTTGTAGACAATGGGGTAAAGACTCCTGGAAGAGGTCACCAGCAGGAAACCTAAGAAGATTACTGCCTTTCATAACCTTTTCTGCTGCAGGGGGAGATAGTGGGTCCTCCCTGCTGTCTTCAAGGATCTCAGACTCAGGCAGGCTCTGCCACTCTGGCCTGCACTTGTTTTTCTTCCATGAACTTTATCCATCCCGAGACTCACCGATCCCACAGGTTCCGGGTTGATCCATCACATCCCTCACTAAACCTGACCTGGCTCCTCCACAGAAGACCTGGAGAGCTCAAGCGAAGGAAAGTGACCCACGGTCAACACCAGGGAGTCTTCAATAGATTACAGGGTGTATAATATGAACTCAGCCCCAATATCAGTCAGAAGGAGGCTAGTAACATCACCTGTATCCCTTTCAGGAAAACAGCATTCTGCACAGCTATGAGAGGGATCTGTTCTAAGACACAGCCATGCACAGGACAGAGCCAACAAACTCAATGTCAGCAAGGGGATGCACTGTGGGATTCCTTGTTGTGAAGCCACTGAGACATTTCCTTTGCTGTAAGCTGTGTGCAATGAAAGGAAAGAAGTCTACTTTTCATTTTTAAAATAGCTGTCTTGTTTGATTTTTCTTATTTACCACAGAACACATTAATTCCAAAATAATAAATTTGTGTAAAAGAAGAGAGAGCTACTACATCCTTCCTTTTTCTGAACTGTAGAAACTCGTAACAATTAGATGAGACAAAACAAGCAGAAGGTCCACCTTGGAAGACAGGAGATCCGGAAAGGGCTGGCCAGCCAGAATAGCCAGAACAGAAAATTTCAGGTTCAGTAAGAGACCTAGGGTCAAGGGAATAACGGAATGAGCAACAGAGCACAACACCGGAGTTTATTATGTAGACTGCAAACACACCCACCAATGTACACATTTATTATGTAGACTGCAAACACACCCACCAGTGTACACATTTACACACCTGCATCAATACACACAAAGCACAGAAATCAGAAGTGAGCAGAAAAAAGAGGATGACATCATGGTGAATGAATAGTTGAGTTTAGACTATGCACACCAGGTTGAATGAACAGTTGAATTAAGACTATGCACATACGGTGTTTCAACTGAGACCCACACCTCTGCAATCCATCCCATGGAGACTAAAAATGCCTAGAGGAGCACATAGATTAGCCAGACGACGCTGAGGTGATTGGATAAAATGTTCTCTCTTGAAACCTCAAATCTGTCACCCCAACCGTCAGCAAAGACTGCCCACATCTAGGGTCATCCAGTTCATCCAGTCAGCTCCAGACTGGAAGCACGGGATGGAGAACTTCCCAGCACCACCTACAGAAAACAGGGCCGACAAGCTGATACTCACACTTCTGCCAGTGTGAACCAAGAGTTGAGCAAAGGGAAGAGAACACACTGGGATACAGGAAGAAAGGAAAAGACCACATGTAAACCACAAAAGTTGACACAGAACCACTCACTTGGCACTGGCACTGGGTTCTAGTCCTTGCAAGCTGCTTCCTACCTGAGATCTCACAGGACCCCTGCAGTGCAAATGAGCCCCAGGCCTCTGATCTCATCAATGAAAGCTCTGTGCTATTTCTAAAGTAGCTCTCTGCAGAGCAGCCCTCCATCCATAGTGACATGTAGTTGTGTAATATGTGACCCATCTCTCTGAAGGCACTGTGCTTTATAGCAGAGAAGGAGGGTTTGCTGGACAATCATCCAGCTTCTTGCAAGAGACTAACTCTCCAGAGAGACTTATGATATCACAGAAATGAGCAATTGGGAGGTATGTAGGTCAGAGTCTGGATGGCTGGGTGGATGGATATGTGGGTGTCTCAATGTTTATGGGTGGACAGGTGAGCAGGCCCCCACTGCCTTGGCCGACCTGATGCCCACAGATCTTCTCAATGGCCTCCTTAATGAGCCTCTTCACCTCCTCACAGGACTCTTGCAGTTCAATCTTC